CTTCTTGCACACCTCTTGCTCCCAGTTCCTCACACACACTTCCTCTCCTCTGGCTTCCCCTGGCTTGACTGGAGTGAGCCCTTTTATAGCATCAGAGGGGCCTTAATTAGAGTCAGGTGCTTAACTGCCTCACCTGACTCTTAGCAGGTTAATTGGAGTCAGGTGGTCTATTAGCCTGGAGCAGCCTCTGCTCTAGTCACTCAGGGAACAGAAAATTACTTATCCAGTAGCCAGTATATCTCCCTTCTGCTACTCTGCTGTTCCCAACTGGTCTGGGTCTATCACATCACTTAAGATCTATCTTTTGTAGTTGTTAAACTTTTTTTTTTGCTGTGTCTAAAACCAGTGTGTGAGAGTCATAACTTGGGGTGGAGAGCAGTTGCATATCCTTCTGCACATTGAGGGAGGGGGTGAGTATCATGAGCTTATGCTGTACAGTTCTCTGTACAGCGCAAGATGGTATAATTTTGGATTTACACTCCAGAGTGGGGTGCATGCCTTAAACTGGGAGGTGCCTTAGCTGTGCCCCCATGCAGGGGCTGGTTAAAGAACCTGTGTAGGTGTGTCCCTACCTGTATGTGTGCTGGAGCCTGAGGGATTGGCAGGCTAGTCACAGCAATACAGTGTATAGGGAGCCCAGGCTGGTGGGTCAGGGGGCTCAGTGGTACCCCAGTTCCAGGTGGTACCCCGGAGGAAACCCATCACAGATAAATCCCCATTGAAGTTGCAGCTCTCAGATTTCTTTGGACTGCCCTTTGTGTGAGGCCTGCTGTTCATGGAAGAAAGAAAAGACATAGAACCTGCCAAGCTGTTCTTTCAATTGCTGGCTTCTTCAGGATTTGAAACTAGAAATTAATCTCCAGTCCTTCCCAATTTCCCAAGTATTAGAGACTTGACAAAAAATAGTTACTAATCTTTCGTAACTGTTGTTCTTTGAGATGTATTGCTCATGTCCATTCCATTGTAGATGTGCGCTCGCCACATGCATCGGGGACAGAAGTTTTTCCCCCTCAGTAGTATCTGTAGGGACTGGCTCTGGCATCCTCTGAAGTGACTCGCATATGCGCCAGTATAAGGAGCGCTGACTCCCCCCCCTCCCTGCCCCCCCCCACTTCTTCAGATCCTTCTTGCCGGAACTCCGACAGAGGGGAAGGAGGGTGGGTCTTGGAATGGACATGAGCAACACATCTCAAAGAACAACAGTTATGAAAGGTTGGTAACCGTTTTTTCTTCGAGTGATTGCTCATGTCCATTCCATTGTAGGTGACTCCCAAGCAGTACCTCTTGAGGCAGGCAGGAGTTCATGGATGTGTCAATTGCAACACAGCTCTGCCAAATCCAGCATCATCTCTGGCCTGCTGGGTAATGGCATAACGCGTGGTGAATGTGTGTACTGAAGACCACATTGCAGCCCTGCAGATATTCTGGACAGGGACATTCGCCAGGAAGGCAGCCAAAGATTTCTGAGCTCTAGTAGAGTGAGCCTTCACTATCAGTGGAGGCACAGCCTGCACCAACTCGTAACAAGTGCGGATGCAGGTGGTGATCCAGTTTGAAATCCTCAGAGGACACCAGAAGGCCCTTCATCCTGTCAGCAATCACAAAAAAAGAGCTGAGCCAATCTGCGAAAGGGGTTGGTGCGCTCCAAATTTAAAGCCAGGGCATGCCTGACGTCTAGAATGTGCAGGCGTTTCTCCTCATTGGTTGTGTGAGGCTTTTGACAGAGCACTGGGAGGAAGATATTCTGGTTGACATGGAAGTGTGACACCAACTTTGGCAGGAAGGCCGGATGGGGCCACAGCTGAACCTTGTCCTTGTAGAACACCATATACAGGGGCTCCGAAGTGAGGGCTTTATTCTCAGAGACTCACCTCGCTGAAGTAATAGCTACAAGGAATACAATGGACCCGTGAGCCTGGAGAGGACCAGGTTAAGGTCCCATTGGAGAACCGGGCCCCGGATCAGTAGAAAACGTCTTTCAAGGCTTTTCAGGAACCTGATCATCTCCTAATGTGAGAATAGAGATCTACCCTGGACACGGGGATGGAAAGACGATATGGCTGCCAGGTGCACCTTGATTGAGGAAAAGGCAAGGCCCTGGTGCTTTAAGTGAAGCAGGTAATCCAGGATGGACTGCAAGGACAACTGGGTAGGGGAGATATCCTGCTCTGACACCAGCAGGTGAAATGCTTCCACTTTGCCAGGTAAGTCATTGTGGTGGAAGGCTTTCTGCTCTCCAAGAGAGCCAAGTAGGGCCTGATGTTTGGACACTCTTAGCTGGAGGCTGGCCATAGAATAAATCTTTATACCAAAAAGCTCGAGCTTCTTTGCCTCCTTATTCTTAGGGGTTGATCCCAGTTAGCCTTGTCTATTATGCTCATTGGCTGCTGACGCTGAGAGTGAGCTTGAGGCAGCAGGTATGTACTGGTATTCAAACCCTTAGCAGAGACATAGTACTCTCGCTCTGCCCACTTAGAGATGGGGGGCAGGGAGGAGGGGGTTTCCCAAAGGACTTCGATCAGTTTCACAACTCCCTCATGTACTGGTAATACCACCTTCAAGGGGGCTGCTGCACTCAGCACATTGAACAGGGAGTCTTAAGGCTCCGCCAACAACTTGGCTTCCAGCCCGAGATTCAATGCCACCCTCTTCAAAAGCTCCTGGTGGGCTTTTGTGTCATCCTGAGGGACCGTGTGAGAAGGCCCTGCTATCGCCTCGTCGGGTGAAGATGAGGAGGAGGCAGGTATAGATAGGCGTAGTAACTCCACTGCCTCTGCCAGGGAAGCCTCGATTGGAGCTGGCTGTCCCTGGGGAGCTCTCTCTAACTCCGCTTCCAAGTCGGAGGTGGGCGGGAGACTGTGGCCGACCATCTTTCCGATGCCCCTGAGACCAACCAATGCCCCTGCAATGGTTGGGGAAATGCCCCAGGATTCCACAGGTGTCAGGAGTTGGCCATGACCAGGGGTTCCACAGGTGTCAGGGATTGGCCACTGGCCCTGGAGCCATGCAGCCCCTGGGGGCCCAGAAGGAAATGCCAATGCTCCGGCGGGTGGCCTTGGCCTGCGGGCAGGTCTTACTCCTCGTTTTCAGAGCCCTAGGAAGGGGAGGCTTGTCTGGGAGACAAGAACGGGACTGATGTTGCCCATCTACCCTGTTCCCGTCGGCTCTCTCTGCGGACCTCTGCTGGGGAGCTGTACCAGGACCATGTCTCTCGGTGCCATGATTGACGCTTCATGCTATGAGAACGGTGCCACCCCGTGGACTGGGAGTGAGAGGATCAACGTCTTGGACGCCATCAACGCACCCGTGGGGATCCGGCAAAACGGAGATCCGGACACTCTGGGTGCTGGGGTTCTGGGGACTGGCGACACGCCTCCAAGGGTTTGCTCCAGACAGCCGACGATCAACGCCGGGATCCCAGTGAACACTACCTACAGACCGGGGAACCATGCCGGGAACTCTGGCAGGTAAGCTGACCCGCATCCGGGGGCTGGTGGTGCTGTTCAGGTGAGCACTGGTGGGGCAACCCCTGCACTGACAGAGACTGCTGGATGGGTCCCAGGGCAGGTTTTCCCCTTGAATGTGGCACCTCAGTAGCTGGTGTGGACAGCACCAGAAGGGACAATATGTCTGTAGCGACCTGAAAGACCTCCGGCATGGACAGCACCACCAGGTGCCGAGTGCCTCTGCTGCTTTCCGGGGATCGAAGGGGACTCGACAGCTCAATAGGTGCGGGAGCCTGGCCACAGTCCACAGCAAAAGAGCTGCCCCTTGTGGGTCTTTGCTCTCCTCCGGCTCTCTCCTTCCCTTTATAGGACACAGGAAATGCCCTTTCCCAACACTTCTTTGCTTTTTAGCCGGTACTGGGGATGGGATCAGCTCCAGTCTGAGGTTGGTGCTGGTGGTGCGTTCCACACCGAGGCTGCAGTGCTCAGAGCAGAGTCCAATCTAGTCGGCTCCGATGCCAGTAAGAGAGCTGACTCCATAAGGAGCGCTCAAAGACGAATGTCCCGCTCCTTTTTCGTTCATGGCCTGAAGCTCTTACAGATGAGACACTCGCTCATGTGGGTTCCCCCCCAAGCACTTTAGGCAGCTTTCATGGGGATCACTGACTGGCACAGGTTTCTTGCAGCAGTCACAAGGCTTGAAGCCCAGGGACCAGGACATGACCCATCCCTAGACTAAGTTCTGTCCAGGACTAATCAACTGTTACTAACTCTAACACTACTGGAACTAGAATACTATACAAGTTTTTAACAACTGTATACAAAAGGTTCACAACTAGACACAGCTGAGAGACAAACTTGCCGAGGCAAGGAGACGTTCCACCATCATCACAGGTGGTAAAAAGGAACTGAGGGAGGGGGGAAGCTGACGGCACCCCTTTTACCACTACATACACGCACCACTCCAGTACCAGAGCCAGTCCCCTACAAATATCTCTGAGGGGAAAACTTCCGGCACTGGTGTGTGTGGCAAGCACACACCCTACAATGGAATGGACATGAGCAATCACTTGAATAAGAGCTCCTTGTTTTTATAGTGTGGTCCTTTAGGATTTTGTCAGTTTTCACTTCCCTGCTATTTTCACCAGTGTCCAATGAAGCGTGAGAAGAATGATGCACCATCATTGCCTACACTCAAGTCACTTAAAAAGTGACTACCATCCTCTCTCTCCCCTACAACTCAATTTTGTTTTCTTCAAACTCCAGTCACAATCCAAATATTTGGTTAAATTACTCTGTGTTTGATCTTTAGTTGTGGTTTACATTTTTATGGGATAATGACAGTTAGGAAAAAAAGTCTGTAGGTGCTCTAACCCAAGTTATCTGCTGCCATGCATCATGTGAACCTCCCCAGACTATTTTTTAAAACTTAGAATTAGCCATAAATAGCCTGTTAAATTTTGAATGCCCTTCCAAACAATTTTTTCCAGTTCCAGGTTGGGGAAAGAATATCCATAGTCATTTACACCCTTTGTTTGAGCATTCAGTACTTACTTAAGGATAGTCCATGCAGAACTGCACAGTTGGGACAGTGGTACAGATCAATATCAACAGCATGGTGCTCCTCTACCTTGACACAGCTGAAAAAGAAAAAAATTGTTTTCAATGCTCATGAGAATAAAAAAAAAAAAAAATCTCAAGAGTCCAAGTCCTTTTAGTTTCCTCTCTATCCTGCCCCACCCAAAAAAATCAATGTTAAGTCTAGCAACATTTACCAGACCATATTGCAGCTCTATGCATTCAGAACTACATACATCAAGACTCCACTCTAGAGCCAAACTATATTTGTCACTTTCAGCATCTATACAGCTACTTTAACAATATGCAAATCAAAGTTTAATTGGGAATACCATTAGAGTATCTGATAAAAAGTAACCAGATGGAAGTAAATTCCACAGTGTAACTACACAAATGCTTTGATCTTAATTACAAGAAGCAGGGTGTGCAAGGTAATTAAAGCAAAGCCAGAAAAAAAAGGTATTACTGAAGTCTAAGTGCTGGTAGTTTACAGAAAACATCATGGAAGCTTTGTTGCTTCCCATGTGGCAATGCATGTCTTCGGTAGCATACTGTACAAAAAAAAATTTTTTAAAGCACACAGACTGCTATTCTCTCAAACATCAAAGGGAAATAAGGTATACTATTTATTTTTCCTTATACCTTCCCTTGCAACAGCAGCTAAAAGTGACCAAACTAAGTGTATCCTTCTGCTCTGCAAAACATATGCATCCTTTTGAATAAATAAACTTCTTTATAATGCTTATTATAAAATACCTACAAATAGGCCATTTATAAATACATTATTTAGACCAAATATTACAGTAGGTTATTTCCTCTCTTGGTAAGATTACACCAACACACATGGATGGCTATAAAAACCCAGCAGGGTTGGAAAAGGTCAGTTTTTCTATTCAAGATAGCGGGATATGAAATGAAGTATTGATAGTGATATTTTACAGGTTTTGCATCACTAGAGAATAATGATTTAGAAAAGCAGTGTTTATATAGAATTTTCTCAAGACAAATTTTATTGTTTAAATACTCTTTTTGCTGAGAGGCATCCAAAGTTTGGCAGAATTCCTCTCTCTTCAAAGTATGTGACTTGTTCATCAATAATGATGAAAGATTAAAGAACAGTTTTTATATCATAAACAGGGCCCACCAAATTCACAGTCCATTTTGGTCAATTTCACAGTCATAGGATTTTAAAAATCTTAAATTTCATGGATTTCAGATATTTAAATCTGAAATTTCACAGTGTTGTAATTGTAGGGGTCCTGACCCAAAAAGGAGTTGTGGGGGGGGGGGTCGCAAGATTATTGTAGGGATGGTTGCAGTACTGCTTCTCTTATTTCTGCGCTGGTGCTGGTGACAGCGCTACCTTCAGAGCTGGGTGGCCGGAGAGCAGTGGCTGCTGGCCGGGAGCCCAGCTCTGAAGGCAGATCCACCGCCAGCAGTAGCACAGAAGTAAGGATGGTATGGTATGGTATGGCCACTCTTACTTCTGTGCTGCTGCCTTCAGAGCTGGGCGCTCGGCCAACAGCCACCACTCTCCGGCCGTCCAGCTCTGAAGGCAGCACAGAAATAAGGGTGGCAATACTGTGACCGCCCTAAAATAACCTTGAGATACCCCTCCCCGCAACCTCAATTTGGGTAAGGACCCCCACTTTGAGAAACATTGTTCTCCTATGTGAAAACTATAGTTCAGACACTCCCCGAGTTACGTAAACCCGACGTACGCAAATCCGAGCTTACAGAAAAAGTTCTGGAAACAAGAAATGGGGGGGGGGTTTGTTGTTGTTTTGTGCAATGGTTGGAAATACGTTTCCGACTTACGCAAAATTCGAGTTACACATAAGTCGGAGAGCGTCTGTATAGGGTAAACACACACAAAAACAGATTTCACGAGGGGAGACCAGATTTCATGGTCCATGACACGTTTTTCATGGCCACGAATTTGGTAGGGCACTAATCATAAAAGTTTACAAAACAGACAAGACTGAACATTCATATTAATAAATCCAATGCAAACAGATAATTACCGATACTATTGCCATGTAAATTAGGCCCCAAGCCATAACAGACCCAACATCTACAGCAAATTGGTTAAAAATGCAAAGCTCATGTGCCATATCTGACTTGTCAAGAAGAGAGTGCTCTTCAGTGACATCCACTGGGGTCTAGGTATCTTGTCACATTTAGTCAAGTGTTTATATATGGGAAGCATGAGAAGTCAATTAAAATGTTTGTATTCATGGAACACAACTAATGAACTCTGCATCAAAGTTGAACTGCTCTGCATTCAAAATAAATAGTTGTAGTTACACAAATGTTTATTTTATTGTCTATAACAATACATTAGAAGTGGTCTAAAGATAAAATAGAAATGCTCTTAAGTTTAACAAGGAAATATTAAATGCTCCCACTGACCAGATAAAGAAGATTTATCATATAGAACCTTTTGTAAAAATATGTAGGTTTCATTGGGTAATTTCACAGCTATCAAAAAACTCAACCAGAGTATTAAAAGCTGATCTCTTCCCCCCCACCCCCTTCACCTTTAATTGTGATAAGAGTTTTAAGATGGTTTCAGATAGATGTTTTTATTAGGCACATTCTTCATTTTTATTATAAAGGACAAACTTAAAAAAACCTTTAAACACATCATATATATTAAAAGAATGCCATGAAACTCTTTAATTCACTAGCATTGAGAGCCACAAGTCAAACTCCTGACTATGCCATAGAAAACTGTTCTAAGTGCACCACAAAATATCCACAATCTTCGTACAACATGTACACTCAAACTTTAAGGCCAGAAGGGACCATCATGATTGTCTAGTCCAGCGGTTCTCAACCCACAGCCCAATTAGCACACAGCTGGGGCCCACCCGTGCTGCAGAGGAAGGTTAAAAAAACACCACTGTCTCTGCCAATCTGGGGAAATTCCTTCCCAAACCCAAATATAGCAATCAGTTAGACCCTGAGCATGTGGAAAATACCCACCAGCCAGACACCTACGAAAGTATTCCCTGTAGTACCAAGAGCCCTCTTCATATAGTGTCCCATCGCCAGACATTGGAGATATTTGATGCTAGCTATCACAGATCAGCTACCTGCCATTGTAGGCCGTCTCATCATACCATCCCCCACCATAAATTTATCAAGCTAAGCTGAGGGTTTTTTATCCCCCACTACTCCCCTTGGAAGGCTGTTCCAGAAAGAAAACAGATAAAAAAAAACATGTGCACAAAATATTTGAGGATACCAAACATTCAACGTTTTTTTTTCCCCAAGCCCTCTCCTGTTCAGTTTCTCCTCTCCTTTCCCATCCAAGAAAGAGCTTTAAAGCTGTTTAGGACTAATATTTGACTACAGAAATGAAGTACAAAACTGAAGTTGCAAGGCAGTTAAATTGAGTCTCCATGAGGTGTTTGCAAAGTGAAATACTAGAACTATACCTGTAACAACGGATTACAAATATACCTTCCCACCACCACCAGTAACAGAATCCTTTCAAAATTAGTTATATTGTTATATTAGCTATAGGGTTTATATGGAGGTTGTTTTGGGTTTGTTTGTTTTTTTGTACAATGAAGAGAACCTTAAAACAAAATGATTTAGCCTCACGTAAGTGTACAGAATGCATATTAAATAAAACTGATATTTTGAAGGGGCTTTAAAATAAATTTTAAAAATGACATCTCCACAGGATTTTCTCTCTCCAAAAGATGCTTTTATAAAATAGAAAGAAAATCCCCATTTTAGCTACTTTGTGCTTGCAATAGTTATGTACGTGTTAAAGATTAATACCATACCTTTTAAAATATAAGGTATTATTGCTAATTTTCAAACTATCACAAATCAAAACAAAATTACTACACAAAAGGTTTTTCTATTACACAGGTTTTGCAAATTTTTGCATTATATTTTGACTAAAGCATGGCCTACAGTTCCTATGCTCAGTTTTGTATCTAGGTTGCACATGCCAACTAAACACTTTTACGTTAGTTGTACCTTTATTAGCAGAACCAGCTTTCAACTACTGCAAGATAAGCAAAGAATAACCCCTCCCACTCCTTGTCCCTAGAAAAGAATGCCAACGTGAGCATTTTTATCCAGGGGAATGGGGGTGGAGATACCAAATCAGTTTGGCAGATCCCATGGAAGTCTGGTTAGTCATTAATTCAAGTCAATTGTCTCCAAGTGTCAAAAGGATGCCAAGTAAGCAAAATCTGAAGACTCAGACAACAGAAAGTGCTAAAGATGTCACTGTCCCAATCCACCAAATGGCTCTGGAGATATTCTGTAAGCAGAAAGTGTTCTGTTTAAGTCACAATTTGTCACTCCTTCAGGGAGCACATTTAAACAATCAAAAGATTTTAGAGCTTGGGTTGCAGATGAAGACTGAAAAACAGATTGAAAATTTTGTCATCAGATACAAACATTTCCTTCTGTAGAGAAAAAGCAAGCTGAAAAAATGAACTGTATTTGAAGGCTAGTCTAAATAACGAAGACAAATCATTAATATTTGGAGAGTAAAACTAAGTAATTTAAACCTTAAATCTAAGATAAAACTGACTGATGAGGAAGTAGACTTAGACAAAGGATTCCAAAGATGTTCATTTTTATATCACACTACTAAGAATTGACCAAACTGAATTTTCTTTTTTTTCTTTTGTGGAAAAAAAGGAGCCAATAGCCATCCATTAGTCTTATTATATTCCAGTGTCATTCCAATACTGCATTATTAGTAAACAAAGATAAGAATGGCCATACTAGATCCATCTAGCCCAGTATCCTGTTCTCCAATAGTGGCCAGCGCCAAGTGTTTCAGAGGGAATGAAGAGAACAGGTAATCATCAAGTGATCCATCCCTTGTCACCCATTCCCAGCTTCCGGCAAACAGAGGCTAGGGACACCATCCCTGCCCATCCTGGCTAATAGCCATTGATGGACCTATCCTCCATGAATTTATCTAGTTCTTTTTTGAACCCTGTTATAGTCTTAGCCGTTACAACATCCTCTGGCAAAGAGTTCCACAGGTTGACTGTGCATTATGTGAAGAAATGCTTCCCTT